CGAAGTAAATTTTTTTTTTAGTTTTAAAGTGATTTTTTTTATTGTCTGATTATCGTCGTCTCTAAATATTTTTATTTAATGACGCTCAAAATTACTGCTTTATCAAACACGTAAAAAAAATTCACTTTTGAAAAGAAAATTTTTTTGTTTTTAAAACAAAATTTGCAATTATAAAGAGAATGAAAAAATAGCATAAGAAAAAGTTTTTTGTCTTTTATTTCCTTGTTCTTGCAATTTTTTTCGTTAAGAAAATTAACTTTATTAAGAGATATCTAGGAAAGCGGCTTCACGGATGTTTCACGAAATATCTGTAAAATGAATCAATTTAACCGGCTTCTCAACAACGCTATTTTTTTTTCTATTATCACAGGTGGTCAATTTGGAAAATCACGTAATTGAATTATTTTTTGAACGACGACGGTCTGGTGCCTCGTGCCGGTCAAGTATTAGATCACGAACTAGTTCAGAGACGTTCAGAGATGGTAGCCGTAGTTCGGTAACACCGCGGAGCAGTTTTCGTGACGGTGAATCATCGACGGGGACACTTCGACGGCGTAAAAGCAGTAAAGCGGCGATGGTATCGGAACCGGTAGACGAAGAAAAACCAAAGGTTGGTTGTGCAACAGTTCCGTTTTTTTTTTCTTGCCTATTCAATTTGATATATCTAAGTGTATTACAATGAGATTATCATTATCGAAGTTTTTAAGACTAATCTTAAACGTGGTTACTTTTGTTTTTAGCAGCAATAAAATTCAAAAATCAAGTACAGTTCTACAAAGTATTACCAGCTTTTTTTTTTTTTTTTTTTTTGGACAAATTTTGATAGCGTGTCAAAAATATATAGGTGTTTCAAAAAATATGTCAGGAAAAATTGACAGACGCCGGTTGTTTGTGTTTCCTCGATGATTGCTTCAAAAAGAAAAAAAAAAATTTACTTATGACCAAATGCAAATGATTTTTTTGAATGTTAGATGAGTTTTTTTTTCTTTTTGAATTAATAAATTTGGATAAGGTAATGGTCTTTTTTTTCAACTATTATGCTAGTATGAAAACAATAAATAACAGTGATAGGTGGCTGAAAAACAAAAGAAGAAAAAAAAGAGAATTATATTTAAAAAATGTATATATAGTGGCTTGTTAAAATCACCATCACGTGGTTTAGCTATTTCATTGAAGAGGAGTGAAAAAAAAAACCACAACTTACACCAGCAAAAGCAGCTAAAAAAACCTAAAATTAAACTATGTTGACGTCTTAATAAATTCCCAATGACGTGATTGCGCTCAAATTTGCTATACTTCACAGATCAGTCTTTTTTAAGCGACAACTGCCACCTTAAAAATAGTTTCAATTACTCATTGTCTATACGTTGGTTTAGTGTAAGAAAATGATAGTGTAGTTTTATAAATATTTACTGCTTAAATCGAAAATTTTAGTGGCTTTAAATTATTGCCATTGAACTAATAGAAATTCATTTTTTATTTGTTCATTTATTCATTCATTTATTTAAACACTTGAAAAGGTGAACAAAAACACAGTTAAGCGAACAAAATATTGTCGTCATTTAACATTGAAATGGCACTCAAATACCTACAAAAAATTGGCACTAGCTTAACCATGCTCAAGTAGTTTACACGTCTTCTACTAGTAAATTTAAAGAATTGTTTCAACTTTTCATTTTTTTTCTTTTTGCTTGAATAAAAAGCAAATTATCTGCAAAATGACATTTGCAGAAAAGGCTATTCTAATTGTAAATTATGAGTTCTAGTGAAGTGTTCGTGCTGACCAGAATTGAGGCACGAAAACGCACTATTAAGCATACTACAAATCAACAGACATGACATATATAATGATCATTGAAGTGTTCCAAATCTAAAGGAATTAAAGTCAAGAATTAGCAGTTTTTTATAGTAATCTTGAGTGAGAGTAAGTTTCGGAAGTATACTGCTGCATACCGCATAATAGACAGTATGAAAATTTTATATCAGTGTATCAAAAAATTAGTTCTAAAGCATTTAATAGAGCTGTGTAAGAAATGATTGATACCAAAATTTTTGCACACTTATATCTCGTACTGCATTTTAGTGGTAAACTTGCCATCAATATAGAAACAGAAATCATTAATTACTTACCGGTAAAATAAAAAATGATTTGCTATGAACTAGACATTGTCCAAAAAATTTATCACTAGTTCTTAAGATTGCACGTTTTTTGAAAATAAGAAAAAACTGCTTAGTGCTAGTCTAGTAAACTATACTGTCAGCGATCACTTTACTTTGAAGTTGATACCACCAAACCTTTTATTGTTAGTATTAATTTCAGATAAATAATATGCTTTATACAAGAAAATTTTACCATTTTTAACAATTGGGAAAAGGTTAGGAGAAAATTTGGAAACAAAAGATGACTTGAAACCGTTCATTGAAAAAAAACAAAAAAAAAAGTTCTGGTATCACATTAGATATTCTGATATACTGTTGATAATACTGATACTATTTTTGTATGACCAGCAAAGTTTCTTTTATCAATAACTGCATCAAAACAATGATAAATATTTGCTAAAGAAATATCATATCAAATTCACTAAGTTTTTTTGGTTCAATAAGTTTGAAACAATGTCGGCAAGACACTAATAATCAATATAAATTTTTTTGAATTTAGCAAGTTCCGGAAACCTCAACAAATACAATGCTGTTATCGCCGCCGGGTGCCAGTGATGTACGAGAAAAACGTGGATCATTACGTTTACATCGACGTTCCACATCGCCTAGTTCATCGCCAAAATATGTGCGTTTTTCACCAGACGAAAAGCAGCCAGAATCAGCGGGCAATAATACAACAACTGCGAAAGCAAAATCTGAAGATTTATTGTTGTATCGTTCAAAAAATCCAGATTTTACTGTTGATCTAACATTGGCAGAACCGACAGCATCTCAGGGTGTAAAAAGTCTAAAGAAGAGACGCTCAACGATTCAAGTGATCGACTACGACACACAGATGGCGCTAAAGAAACAACTGGATATGACAATATCGGCAGCCGAAGCAATAACTATTGTGGTAACAAAACATGAAGAACACGAAGATGTTACTACAGCTGGAGATATGAAGCAAAAATCCGATGAAGAACAGCAACAAGAAGCAGAAAAACAGCAACAACCAGAAGAGCAACAACAAATACGGGAACAAAAGGAAGAATGAATTAGATGTATCAATAAGTCCTGTGATTTTTAAAAAAAAAAAGAAGAAAAAAAAAACAAAAAAAATTTAATATAATACCGGGTATTCGTAACAGATAATTAACTAAATGGTCAATTGTACAGAAAGATACAGCAATTGTTCAGTTTTATCGTATCCTACCATCTTGCCAAATCTTTTTTGATGCTACGTTTTCAACTTGCTTTCTTCCTCTTCATTTTCAGCAGCCTTCGCCATCTGATTTGCAAAAAATTGTTGTCCAAATTCAGCGAAGTATTTTTCCGTCTCTTATGTTTTTTTTTTGTTATTTCTTATTTATTTATTTTTTTTTTTGGCAACTAAAATTCAATTCAAACATTTTATTTTATGCTAACTTTTATTGTGGGCACTTTTCAATATACATTTATGTCAGAAAAAAAATTTTTTTTTCCGGGTCTATCATTTTAATCCTACAATATTTTAGTCAATCAGTTTGTTGTTGAAAGTTGATATAGCTAAAATTTTTTAAAACTGTTTTTGTTGGTTAATGAAACAAATACGAAAAAGAGCAGTAAAAATTGAAAAAAAACTACAAAGAGCATCAGTTTTTTTTTGTTGTTGATTATTACAGATTTGAAAAGGTATTTTTTACAGAGAGAATTTTGAATGATACTATTGACGGGTCTTTTTTTTTCCTACTACTTTTTTTTTTTCCTTCTTTGCCATCTGTTTATTTTTTTCATAAATGTTGTTATCCATTATCTTCTGTTCCATTTTTTTTTTTTTTTT